GTGAATAAATGTAATATTGGTTTTCGGAAATAAATTAAGATTAAACTACAGAGATTTGGAACAAATCTCTGACTGGTATTTCACATTATTTCATAATAAAAAAAAGAAATATTTACTTAATTCTTTACAGAGCTATTCAATCGGAGTTATCGAATAAAAATGAATTGAATACTCACTCACAATGTTATTTTGAATAGATTTATCAGAATAATGGAAAAAAAACAAGGAAGTTATTTCATACAAATAAAATATAATTTATGCAAAGTGTTTCCGACTTTTTCGACATAAATATGGACAATAATATCTTGGCCTCCAAAAGCTAAACAAAATCTTTTGGGATGAAATAGCGAGTTTGTTTTCAATATTGATTGACAGATTTACCTCGACAAATTATTATTATTATTAAAAGGAGGGATCGTGCACTACCACATAAAAGATGTATTATGCCCCTTATTTGGGTTAGAGTGTTTCTCCAAGTCCGATTTCTTTAATGAAAGACAGTATAGAGCCTATCTTTCCTACTCTTTAATTCTCATAATCCATGAAATACCCTCCTAGATGTTTCTTCTGCTTGTGCATCAGTTCCTGGCACTCCACAAGCAAATGCAGTTTCTCTCTCTTCTCTACAGTATCTGTAGTCTGAGTTTGATTGAATTTTTAATTTCGATAGGTGATTATTCAATGTACGGTGACCGGTCAGTAATCCCGTAATAATTCTTTGGTTATTTTTTGATTATGCTATATAACCTTTGAAGCGTTTTAGGTTGCAAGTCCCTTAAAGTATTTTAGATTGTGAGAGTCTTTTAGCCTTTCCCAATAGAGTTCTCTTATTTCTCTGCGCCATTTATAAGAATGGATAGAATTCCTTTGCCTAGACCACAGAATGGTTCTGGGCCTATCATTCTTGAGACCGCGCCACTTCTTGCAAGTTTGTATGCCCTTTAATGGCCTTAGATGCCAGAATATCTCAGAATCTATATAAGATGCACTTGATTGTTCTAGCTGAGTATGTTCAGCTTGTCAATAGACTCCTATACCATTTTAAATGTTAGCTGGAAGTATATGAGTGTCCTTATAGCTGCATGGCTGTCAGTCAGTATTGCGATTTTACGGTTTCGATAGTTACGTTCAAGATTGAAACTGGCGCATATGTCTATTGCGTATATTTCCGCTTGAAAGATGGTTGCATTATTTTCCAGTGTTTCCCAGTATATTTTGCCTAGTCAATAAACATCAGCTCCCTCATGGGTGAGGGAGCGGCCTGTATACCATGTTATCATATTTCCTTTTATTATTTGAGTTTTGGACAAGCCGTTCCAATTCTTTTTGTTGCCAAGTTCAGTTTTGAAGTTTTTTGTAAAGTTATGCTTTACAATCATCCAATCGTAAACTCCTATTTGCCGTGCCATAGCAAATAAATTTCCCAAAGATGTAAAGATGTTCTATAGAATCTTATAAATGACACAACGAAATCGAAAATAATACTAGTTGCAGAAAATTGAAGAAGCCCTAAAGTGGCGTAAGTTGAAGTCCCGGCGTTCCTCAAGTAGAAGAATTACATTTTTTTCGATAAATTAAGTTGAATAATTATTCAACAGGAAAATGACGCATTGCTATGTTGACCAAATAACTTTACAATAAATTTCACAAAAATACATAAGGAATATATGTATTTTTACAAACGAAACCAGACATTTTTTTCATTAATAATTATTATTTTTTTATTTTCTGTTTCTTATTCTCACTTAAATCAATATAAAATGACACCATGGCAGTTATTCCTATTCATATTTTAATTAATATTTTTTATTGAAATAAATGCCATTAATTAAAGTTAATAACCCTAAACAGACCCTATCGTCATTAATTTTTGAGTTCCCGAAAATTTTGAGTTCAAAGAAGCTTCTGAAATCATTTTTATTTTAGCCGTCAAACAATTTCAATTTCTGATTTCTTAAAAATATCAGCAAGCAATGCAGAAGTACTCAATAATACAAAAGATGTATTCTAAATGGATACAGATTCCACTCTTAAAATATCAAAATCAATATCACAGTCGACGTGGAAAACGGAACCTTATTATCATTCGGTATGTGACAGTAAATGAAACATGTTTCCATTAATACACTTTCGATGCAAATTTAGATATAAATTAAGTAGAAACAACTGACACAAGCCTCCAAAAGTAAGAAGAAATGCAAGCTTACAAATGTTAGCTTTAAAGGATATAGTAAAGAAAGACATCATATATATAAGATAGATGATTCCATGTATTGATGAAGTAAAATTGTAATTAGAGATATTTGAATTCAAAATTCAAGCTAATAAACTAATTAAACTAAATATAATTAAATTAACAAACTGCCGTAACCGACCGCAACTAAACTACCTCTCCTGATAACTACTTTACGACTCCTCCTTTATCTACGAGCGCATTGCCAACTGTTTACTTTTTACTTCAATCACTGGTGTTGCCAACTGCTTACATATTTAATGAGTAAAATTGATATAAGATAAGATCTTATTGTAGTCATGCGGAATTGTCTTAATGTAAAGAAAGAACATAATTGATTCTTCAACTCAGACCATACTAGAACATTTAGGATAATTTAAAAACTTCGCTCTTAAAGGTTTGTTATCACATATATAAAATATAAGGAAAACCCAAAGTCCTTAATGTTAATTTTTTCTTGCCGATAGTGGTGCGACTTTATGACGAAAAGAAACTATTTAAAAGCATGACGGATTCGAATAGCAAAGAAGATAACGACAAAAATTTATATTAATTTATTGAAATTTGGCTGACCATACAACGCTGTTACCAGTAGTCTTAGAAAATAATCGAATTTAATTGTTTATAGTCTGTATATAATTTGTTTAGACAAATGAAAAGCGGTGACTAAATGTGTTTATTCACAAGTAGCGAAGGCTGCACAAACTTATATTAGTCAAGTTCCAGGTATTATTTATCAAACTTTAAGACTATGACTATGAATCCTGTGAATCTCAACATCAAATAGAAAATATTTTACTAATTAATAAAATTTTGATTCAATTCAAAAGTCATCTCATTATTATAAAAATGGAAATTAAAATTTATTCCAAAAAGCTACCATTTAGGTTTTCATTAAATTTTAATTGTAAATATATTCGATCTAGGGACGCTAAATCTAGGTTGATTCTCTATTTTTTCAAAAAAATATAATTAAATTTAATTGAGATTATTTTTGTGTTATTAAAAATTAAATATTAAATCAATTTAATTTAATTACAATTCGAATGAAATAAATTTATTTGAAAACATTATTTAGTTTAGTATTCCTTGCCGTAGGTTGGATAATCGGAAATTTAATTGGTTGCCGGTCGATCAAATATAAATTCATTCAATTCATAATTCATAATTTTCCAGCAAAAATATTTCTATTGAAATTTAATTTTAAATAGGCAAACTTAAATATAAAAATTTACATAATTTGGGTGCGAAAATTCAAATTAGATTAAATTATTAATTCTGTAAGTAATGACATCATGAATTTAAAAATAATATAAAAAAACTGAAATATAATCATATATGAAATTAAAAAAAAACTAATTACGAAATAAATATTTGAATTTATTTCCAGAAAGAGGAAGTAATCCTTTCAAAATATTTTTATTCTACTGCATAGCATTTTAATAAAGTTATTACTACGTAGTAGTGCTTAAAGGTATTCTAGCAATACAATATTCGGGCATAATGATGTTCAAGGATTATGATGTTCCAGTAGTATGATGTTCGAGCAGCTCATGTATAACGGAATAGTGTTTTTCAGACAAAAGTGATTGCTATAAGGGAAGCAATAGCTTGTCTAGAAATAGATGATATGAACATATATATACTATCGGATAAACCAGCTGATTTAAAGTTCCTGAAGTCCAATTTACATCTGGGACAATCTTTGACTGCTACACATCTCTAAATGAGATGTCAACGCAGTTCAATATTTCTCTAATCTGGGTGCCCCGTCATAGGGATATTTTCGGCAATTCCAAAGTAGACAAAGTAGACTAGCATTATTTACAAGCCATTGCATTTTAGGTAATCATGTTGGAAAAATAAATTTCACTATCAACTATACCTGCCGCAGTTGTGGAGAGAACGATGAAAATGCTTCCGTCCGCCTTATCACTTTAGGGACTTTCTTTTTTGAAAATCTTGGCGAACTGTAAGACCTCCCTCCGAATAGCATTAAAAGCTTTGCTAAAAGTTCTAAGTGTTTTTAAAGTTTTGATATTATTTCAACTCAAACAACATTTCTTTGGCTTATTCTACGAGTATCACCAACTGCAACTCGAAAGTTTGTACTATTTTCCTTACTTTTCTAGTAAGGAATACTGGATACATTAATGTGTAAGGTAGATTAGCTTAATCTAGCTGTTTGGTAGACCACGGAAAGACGTATTCTTGTCCAACCACACTAGATACTAGTTAAGTGTTTATTTGATTTTTATGTTGACCTAAGGTGACCAGATTTTAGATGGGCAAAGCGGGACAACTCTGAAGGAGAGGGTGTATCAACAAAAATTAAAAAATAGTATTGTAATATTTTCTTATTTTTAACATACGTGTGTCCAACATAACGAACACACTTCAAGAGCATATAAACCTCATTCTGGAGTATTTGCAGAAATGGAAAATAAAAATCAATAATAAAAAAACTAAGGATCTGTTTATAACGCGTAAGTGGAGACAGAATCCGACGAGAGTAAGAGTGGGTGATATGGTGATAAACTGGAAGGATAGCGTTAAATATCTCGGCATCACGTTGGACAAACGATTCACATGGCTTAAACATGTTCAACTGAAAAGAATTAGCTGCGAATTCTTCATTACCTCCAACCGCTATTTAGAAATGAAAATCTCAATGCTAAGAACAGGAAACTGATATATAACCAAATAATTCTTCCGTCACTTCTATATGGTTGTGTAGCGTTTAGCAAAGCTTCAAACACCACTATTCATCTAGAAATTGCACAAAGTTAGACTCTGAGAAAACTTTTCAAATAGTTAACGGTAGAAAATTATTTTCTAACCTCTTTTTAAATTATTAACTTCATTTGCTACTTCGATTCACGATATTTTGTCACCTTTCATAAGTTTTATAACATTTTAAAAAAGAGCAGCTTGATTTTGTAGATACTCTAGCCAAATTAGGATTGTGAAGGATCATA